CAGTCTGTGATTGTTCGCACACTTTTTTCGTCAATGGGGTCAGAGCTCAGGTTCAGCCATTTGAGATGGCAGTGGAGGAGAGACGTCATTATCTCGCTCAAGGGCGCTCATAATCGCATACTATGTTTAATGGAGTCTGACCCTGTGACCTTCTGGTCACAGAAGATCGCCTCTCGACACACAAAGCCTGCCTGCTGTCTACTCAAATCCCAGCTCCTGCCCTACTGTATGCCTGTAATGTTTGATTTGGATTTGTATGGTTCAAGACCTAAAATTATAGGCTGGTGTAAGATAATATCATACCATAAAGCATTGCATTGCAGCAATGCTGCATCGTTACGTAAGGCCTGAGCTGAAGTTCACTTTTCCAGCTTTGTGGGGTTTTTTTCACTTTGGCTCCTCGCGGTGCCTCTCTGTAGCTCCCTTGGCCCTCAGCTCTCTTCTCCTCAACTCCTGCTCTCCACTCTGCTACCCACTGCTCCTTTTTTCTTTTTCCAACTCTTTTGGCCCAGAGTTTCTGCTTTTTTTTTTTTTTTTTTTTTTTTATTCCATCCACTATGGCCAATTTTGACTTCTGAACTCTTTCACTACATGTGGTCCAGATTTCTACCATCCATATCCTGCTTATCCTCTGTTGAAACTCCTAATCCCTCTGTGCCCTGTCTCAACTGTGTGTGTGCAGCTACTGTGCATCACTGCTGCCTCACTGCTGGCTGTTCTCATTTCCCCTCCTCACGCTGTATCCCAATCTCAAACAGACACCTAGAAACACACGCTTGCACACCTGTCTTCTTATGCCCTGTGGCAGGGCAGCAGTGTACTGTAGCGTACTGTAGGATATGTGTGTGTTTGAGTGACTGCAGCTGCTTTTGGCCGTCCAGGCTGCCTCCTCGTTTTCAGCTTCATTTCCCCCCCTAATGAAGATTCAGAGGCAGCACAGCTACTGGCACAGGGCAGGAGAGGAGAGGGAGGGATGAGGAAGGAGCGATAGAGGAGGAAGAAATTACAGCAGGAGGAGACGGGAGGCAGAAATGAGAGTCAGAGGGAGAGGAAGGAGATGGAGGGAAAGAAAAGAAGAGGGAAGCGTCAAGATGGAGGGAAAAGAAAGTATCCTGAGGAGGAGGAGAGAGAGGCAGTAAGACGGGCTAAAGAAAAAAGCAGAAAAGGAAGACGAAGGGAAGGATGGAGGATGAATGGGGAAGAGAGGACAGCTACAACAGAGGAAAGGGAGGGAAAAGGGTGATGAGTTTTGTGATAAAGAGGACTAGAAAGAAAGTAGCCCTCTCTCTCTTTCTCCTCCTCTCTCTCCTAATTAGCTCCCTGGCTGTGATGAATGGCACAGCACTTAGGACCCAATCGGCGAGCCGACCTTGTCATGTGTGTTGATGGGGTGGGGTGACTCTACACCCCCTCCCACCTCTGTCCCCCTCTTACCTATTGTACCGCCTCCTGTGGAAGCAGATGCTGCTAATATCTAGGTGTGTGTGTTTGTGTGTGTATAGGTGTGTGAGCACGCTCACTTGTCCACCGTGTTTGTGTGAGTGGGTGCTTTGTCCTCCAGCCTCAATGGCTGGCAGTTCTACATTTCACACTCAGTTGTGCACTTACACACCCACTTGCCTCATTTCATATGTAGGAACTTTTGTTTTGCAGCATTGCACATTATTAGTTTGGAGTTGACACTGTCATATAAGATGATTTGCAAGATAATAAAACATCCCTTTATCTTGCATCTGGGCTGTCCTAAATGTTATCTCTTGTAAACTGTTTTTTTTTTTTACATTGTCTTTCAGAAGCACTGCTTTTTTCTTCTTATTGCACTTTTTTATTGATAATTCTCAAATATGTTCTGTGTTAGTGTTTTTACCATTGAGGATTTGCGATTTGAAATTTGATTTAATTTGATATTAAAAACCTCAGAAAGGTATTAAATGTTATATATATGAAATTCACTTGCCACTAGATGTCGCTCTAGAGCCACAGCATCTCAGACCAAGACAACTGGCACTGCAGCCAGCGAGACTTCATTGACAAAACCAGTAATTTTACCCAGCAGATAATTGTAAAGACACACTTCAAACTGGACAGAAACAAAATAAAACTCACCAGAAACATCTTTGTTAGTTTTTCCACAGTCTTTTCAACAATCACCAACACTGGTTTGGTCAAAATAGTGTTAGAGGAGAAAATAGCCGTGACACTGTCTGCTTTGGCTGCCATGAAACGTTAGCTGATCATTGGACACAAAAGCGCAGGTCAAGGTACGTCCACTGAGAGTTCTTGTTTTTGCCACTCACAAGCTCAGATTGTTATTCTGAGTGTCTGACAGCATTATGGAAAGGATCTCTACAGAGATGGACTTTTTGTTCAACCAGAAACGGCTGTAATATTGCTATCATTGCTACTGCTACCAGACTCCAGTGACAGAAACTGTCTTTTTACCTGTTTACGCATGTAATCGTAACATCTTAAATTAAAGTAAACCCTAATTCACAGCTCAGATGAGAGAAGAACAGCAGTTTCAGATGGATGGACTCCCATGCATTAACATGCACTCGCAGCCAGACCAGCATTGTAAACAAAGCACAGAGAAGCTGCGATAGCAACACAGGCAGAGGGAGGTCTGCTCAGGACACCATGACTCCACTATATCTTTATAAAGCCAATAGTTTGCTGCTATATTAATGTTTTAAATCTCATATAAACCTTTAAAGTATATTTCAACTGAGTTTACAATTTGGATTTTACTTTTATGTATTTGATCATCCTATTTGTAATAATGGAATTGTACTCACCAACTATTTGCTGTGATCTCTGAATGCTGCAACATAGCAAAATCTGATGGGGAGAGATACATTAGTATAAAGCTGAATCACTGAGTTGATTAATTCATATAACATTCTTTGGTTCCAGCTTCCCAAATGTGAGGATGCTTCTGCTGTTCATTGTTTCTATCATTGTAAAGTAAATATTTTTGGACTGCTGATTGAACATAATATGAACACAATATGGGCTGTGAAAAAAAATAGCTTTTTTTCCCCCTACATTTATTGGTGAAACATTTAAATCAAATAAAAATAACTGATAGATTATAATTTTGATTATAATCTATCAGCCGCATCACGTGCAAGTGTTGCCAGTAGGTGGCGCTATCACTATATCTGAATATTGTCATGTAGACGTGTTCAGGGCGGGACTGTTATCAAACGTGAAGTTTCATTGAGATTGGACCATGTACACTGAAGTTATGAGGACGTATTCAAGGTAGGACTGTTACAGAATATGTGAAGTTTAGTGGAGATTGGACCATGTACATTAAAGTTATGAGGACGTGTTCAGGGTGGGACTGTTACAGAATATGTGAAGTTTAGTGGAGATTGGACCATGTACATTGAAGTTATGAGGATGTGTTCAGGGTGGGACTGTTACAGAATATGTGAAGTTTAGTGGAGATTGGACATTGTACACTGAGTACTATGTTTCATGGCGAATCGTCAAAATTCGACGCAACGCCACAGACACGCCATTCGTCGTACAATCACAAATAGCACAACTTTTAATCCGCAATGTTTTTTAACCGTACTGACCAATTTTGAAGTTGATCCAATAAATTCCCTAGGAGGAGTTCATTCAAATAAAATGTGAAAAAATCGCCAAAAATGACTACAAAATTCAAAATGGCTGACTTCCTGTTGGGTTTGGGTTATGCGTCCAACAGGCTTTTTTGCTTGTGGCTAAGCCATTTTGCAACGCCCATCTGCGGGACCAAGACAATACATTAGTGTTTGCCATGACTGAATTTTGTGTAAAGTTTCATGAGTTTTCGGGCATGTTAAGCCCCCCAAATATTGTTCAAATGTAAACACAAAAGCTGATTTTCGCTGTGTCGCCTAGCAACGTGGTTCTATGAAATTGAAATTTCTGATCAGATTAAGATGTCATCGTCATCATCCTAAGAGACTTCTCAGCTGGTTCTGGTCAATCTGCTGGAAGATA